GGTCAATGTCGGCTGGCGACCCCCCCGGGGGAGGGCCTTCTCTGTTGCTGCCCTGGCCCTATGGAATGATCTCCCAAAGAGATCCAGACCCTCACTACTCTTCCGGTTTTCCGTAAAGCTACTAAGATCTGGCTGTTCCGGCAGGCCTGGGGCTGTTGATCAGCATCCAGCCCCATTTTAAGTGGTATGTATGTTGTGTAATTTTAAATAACTGTATTTCTATTTTTAATTTTTATATTCCTTGGTTGTCTGTAAGCCGCCTAGAGTCCCCCTGGGAGTGAGCGGCATACAAATGCTAATAAACTTCCAAACTTCCAAACTTGTTAATTGAAAAATCTTCCAGAAAGCCTTGCATTATGACATTTTGAGTACTTTCAGTGAAGATGCTTGTATTCACTCAAATATATTTAAATCCAAGTCTTACAGTCTTTTCATCTGAACATCTTCAGTGTTTAAATGATTTTTTTAAATGAGTTTCAGTAATTTATAATGTTTTACGTTGTCTTAATATTACATTTTTCTAACTCTCACATAGTGAACTTGTATTAATTGGCAGTTGTATAAAAATATAAAAAGTAAGACTAAAATCGTAACTATAGTGCCACATATGTTTAAAATAATTTCACTATAACGTTTGGTCTGCCATTAATAGCAATAGCACTTAGACTTATATACCACTTCTCAGTGCTTTACAGCCCTCTCTAAGTGGTTTACAAAGTCAACATATTGCCCCCAAAATCTATGTCCTCATTTTACCAATCTTGGAAGGCTGAGTCAACCTTGAGCCGGTCAGGATCAAACTCCTGGAGTGAGCAGTGAGTTAGCCTGCCATACTGCATTCTAACATTCTAATCACTGTACCACCACGGCTCTTATTGCTATTATTTGGATTGAAGTAGCCTAAACTCAGAGGTACCTATTTGTTGTGTTCTATTTCATCTGCAGTGAAGGGCTCATGGTCCTGCTGGACTCCTTGGTCTCAGTGCTCAGCAACATGTGGAGGTGGACACTACCAGCGTACCCGGACCTGCACCAACCCAGCACCAACTAATGGGGAGGATATCTGCATTGGACTACACACAGAGGAAGCCCTCTGTAATACCCATCCATGTGAAGGTAGCAAACACTTTTGTTGTTCTTTAGGACCTGATAGTATAGTGCTTTCCAAAATTACTATGCAACACTAATAACTACTGTTTAACTACTGTTAAATGCTTAATATTATCTTCCCTATTGACACCCTCCAATTAAGTTGGAATTACAGAATTTCAATCAGCTGGAAGGCTGTCTTCTCAGCTGCTGATTGTCATCAGTTCTGCTGTATGAGATCTGATAACCTTAAAAGCCCATTGATGGAACAGAGCTGACAGGATTCTGTCATGCATCTTCACAGCTTTTTAATATTAAAATTAAAAAAATATTCAGTATTCCACAAAGATGGTGATTCTATTGATAGCCTCGAAAGTGATGTTGTAACAGTTAGTCATAAAAGCATGACTGTACATTATCCGGTCCCAAATGGTTACTAAAAACAACTGTAACAGGAACATTTTATTTCAAGTTAGAAGCTAAAGGAGGAGGTTTTGAGGAAACTCAGAGAAACACAGTAAGAGTTTTTAGCTTACTTTGGTAAGTGAGGATGTTCTGTAAAATATTTCCTAGCATACACCTGGAAAGTTATGTTGATAATCTTATATGTCAATATGTTTTTGAACTACAACTTCAGAGCTGAATGTTCAGCTGAAGAATTTCATTCAAATCTTTAGCTCAGTATTTATCTCTTACACTTTTTTCCTAGTGTGACACTGAATCATCCTGCCTAATTTATCTTATTTCTGACATACATAATTTTAAGGAGGCTGGTCTGAATGGTCTGAATGGAGTTTATGCAATGAAGAAAGCATCCAATATCGTAGCCGTTTCTGTGAAATGCACAGCCCAGGATCTATTCAATGTGCAGGGAACAGTACACAGTATCAAGAATGTCTGTATAATGAGATCCCTGGTAAGTAGAGTTTGATATATTTCAGTACACTAGAGAGGCAAGAATTTGACTAGTTGATTAAATGTTAGGGTGAGCTTTCATAGGGCAAAAAAAATGGTTGTTACTTTTAATGTCAATAGGATGGTGTGTGCAGGTTGGTTTATTGAATTAATGGTTCCTTTTTCGTGTTTCATAAGCTTACATTCATAAGAAGACTGCATTTGGCAAATGCCAAATAATATTTGTATAAATATTATACAAATTAATGTATGATTATAGAGGGTAGGTACAAAAGAAACAATTTAGGAATAATCTATACTTTACAGGAGTATAATGATTTTGCAAATGGTGGGTTTTAGCTATGATTGATTAAACCATTTTCAAGAAGTTACTTGTCTCATGTAGAATTTCAACTAACATCTATTTTATTTAGTGTATGGCTAAAATGTTAAAAAGCACATCAGTTACATTCTTAATGAGCAAATATGAAACTTTTATCTATTTACAAATTCAAAAGTAGGCTATATATTTATGTTTATATGGGTGGGAAGGATCCTATGACTCATAAAGACAAGATATTCTGTACTACAAAAACATTACGTTTGCATTAAAGTTAGATGAATTTGGATGAATCAGATCAGTGACTAGCAGAGGAATGCTAGTCACTGGTAACATGAAAGTAAATGGTTAAAATACTGAGGTATATTCATTGCTTTGTCTGATGCAGCAAATTCCAAGAATAGGATTATTCTTCAGTTAAAAGATGTGAAATAAATAATATCATATAAGATATAATAAAGGGTGGGTTAGGGTGTTTAAACAGCTTTATTTATATGATAAATCTTTTAAATGTTCAGATGAAAGTTTTAGATGAAAGTTTTAAATGTTGTAAGTCACCCAGGGTCACCTATGCATGACTTGGGTGGTTATATAAATTTATTTAATAAATAGCTAGCTAGCTTGGAGTCGGGAGGCAAAAACATAGTATGTGTGCTATATTACCCACCTGTGGCATTCAAATGTTTTGTAAATGCAATTTGAATTGTTCTGCTCATTTCTTTGAGGTGTGTGTGTGTGTGATTTGTGCACAGGTGTTTCCAGAATAGAATACTATTATATTTGACTAGTTCTCAATCTTATCCACATTTCTGTTCTAACAGGAAACATGTTCTTTTCAAGAAGGGTTTTTTTTTTTTTGTATGATATTTCATTCTGTATTTTTCACCAGATCGCTGAAAGAGCTCCTTGTTTGCAGCAGAAATTAACTTGCCACGTAGTGAGCAAAATCATTTTAATTGCCTGTACACTGTCGCAGATGACAAAAGTGATGTTTCCCCCTCCCTTTTTTTCATTTTGTTTAGTAATCCTGCCAGCATCAAGCATTGATGAGAGCACGAACTGTGGAGGTAGAGTACAGCTAACTATAGATCTTGCATTTATCTTAACATGCCTACTCTTTTCTGGGATGCATCAACCAAACCATTAATCTGTGTGATTCACATCCTGTTGATATCCCTAATTCCACTGGAGTCTCCTTATCAGAGTTGGGAGGAAAAGTATTTTGATATAGATGTGAGATTCTCAGAATAATTAATTACTAGGGAAATCTGAAACCTTTCTGGTGTAACTCCTTTTTCATTGAACTAGAAAAAGATTCTGTGTTTTCCTTAGTACTCTCTTAATGGTAGATTTGTCACTGGGTGTCTCTACACACAAATTATTGCTGTTCTTCAGTTCAGGTAAAACTTTGAGTTTTAGGAGAAGCATTAAAAAAAATCTTCTAATTTGCAAATTTGAGGTCAGTTTTGTAATATTTGTTATTTTTATTTTTTAAAAAGGACATGTTTTATTTAGAAATTCACATTCACTTAGTTAGAAATTGTTAGCGTACATTAAAAGTGAGTAAATCCAAATACCATATTTTTCGAAGTATATGATGCACCAGAGTATAAAACGCACCAAGATTTTGAAGAGGCAATTTTTTTTAAAGAAAGGTTTTTTACTCTGCAGACCTCCCCAAAATGCCCCATTTTTCATGAAAACGGGCCTGTTTTTCATAAAAAAGGGCATGCATAGCCTTTCAGAGGCTTATATAATGCTTCTTGGGGTGGGGGGGAACAAAAACAAGCAAAAAAGGCCAATTTTTCATGAAAATGGGCCCGTTTTTTGTCAAAAAAAGGGCATGCATAGGCTTTAGGAGGCTTATATAGTGCTTCTGAGCGCTGGAGGCAAAAATGGCCTGTTTTTCGCTCATTTTAGCCCTCCCCAGCCCCCAGGAGCACTCTGGAAGCCTCCTAAAGGCTATGCATGGCCATTTTTGTAAAGGGGGAGGGGTTTCGGGTGGCTAAAATTCTGTATTCAGTGTATAAGATGCACCCAGATTTTCAGCCTCTTTTGAGGGAAAAAGGTGTGTCTTATGCTCCGAAAAATACATACATTCAACCATTGAGATCCCCTCCCATACCTCTTTTCCACCTACCCCTTCATTCTCTTTCTAGTTAACTTCATTAACTGTCCTGGGTTCTATAATTTCCTTCACTTTTCCCTATTTCCCATTAACTAGGTACCATTCTAACAATCCTGAAAATTGTAGTTCTCCACATTGCTTACTTCTTTATCAAATGTATTTACCATCCATCTTGTGGTTCAAGGCTCTACTCCTTCTAAGAAATGCCCATGTTTTCTGAAGAAATAAATAAACTGAAGAACATGTCCTTCAACATTTTTGCCAACTTCCATTGCAGAAAACCTCAATATAGCTCCAGAGGGTTGTTGTTGTTTTTTGTTTTTGTTTTTGTTTTGAGTGGTAAAGTACTTAGCAGATGGGAAAAAATTGTCTGCTAAGAAATCAGGCACCATGCTTACCCATGCAATGGGTCATATGCTTCTCTTCGAAAGCCTCAGGATGGCAGGAAGCTTTGGGTCAACCCTTGTAAGCAGGAAAGCAAAAGAGGAGTAATTGGACTCAACAGCCATGATGCTTGAAGAACAAGAATGGCAGGGAGTCTTCTTTAGCCTGCAAGATTGAAGTTTTTTATTTCGATTTTCCTTCCACAGAACTCTTAAATGTGCCTCGTGTTTTAAATATTCTTTTTACATTAGCCTTTGATCTACTTAGGCTGCTTATCACAGTAGTAAACCTGTTACTGAGAACAGTAAAAATACTAGCTTCTAGGATGTGAGACGCTAGGGGCATCAGGATAATTGATATAATCAGAATGCAGTAATTTTTTCAGCTGCCTATAGCACTGGGCCCTTCTTTATCAAGGTGAAATACATCGTTAAAAATCTACCTATAAATCCCAGGGGTAACAAGGCAAGGCAGCCCTTGTAAGATCTGGATTGCCTTAAAAAGTTGCCAATCACTAAGGTTTATCTTCAAAGTTCAGGGAAAGGCATTTTCCTTGTGCAGAATCATTACTTTGTTCTCTGTAGTTACTTGTAAGTTATGACCAAAGACTTTGAAAAGGGCAGAAGAAAAATTGGCTTTTTATGTCTCCCAGTATAATCAGCTGCAAATACTGATGGCTCTATTCCCTCTGCTTTTATTTTAGGTGAAAGTTGCTTTTTAATGCATGTGGTATTTCATGACTGGTAGTAGAAAAAGAAATCTGCTTATCTACAAGCAACAAACTTTATTTACTTAAAGTTCTGTCCATTGTTAGATTCATGAGATAATATTTGCTCAATCCTTTCAGATCAGTTTAATAAGCAATTTCTTTTTCCAGAAGAATCTTTAAATTGTAGATCTGAGATTGGGGCTGAAAATTCTCATTTATCTCACCAAACTATAATATCCATGAGAAGGGCAGGGACATAGAAGTATTGCGTTTTTGTAGTTACAATGCCCTTGAGAATATTTATAATACTGTGTGCTCCTTTGCTGGTGCTCTAATGTAGAATCTGACTTTGAAAGAAAAAAAAGACCTTAACATGCCACAAAAATTTCCACATGAAAAAGTATTGTTCTTTTTGGAATTTCCACTGCACATTTAAAATTTGATTTAGCTTGCTCCCCTCATCAACAAAGAATTTTTTCTGTGAGACAATTGTGAGGGGAAGTTGAGGGGATGTTCATTGCTCAGAATGTTTGGTATTCTGTAATTCCTTGTGTTTTTCAACTGATCACACAAGGACAATCTTACCATTTAATAAAAGTGCATTTTTCTTTTCACTTTCAGTAAACTGACTCTGAAGGTTACACAATGTATTAGGATTATAATTGGCAGGAACAGTTTTAGGGACATCAAAAACACTCTAATTCCAGCTCCTGCCCACCACAGTCACACTTCTTAGCAAGTCTCTTAGACACAATATGAGACACAATTGTTTCAAAACAATTGCAAATAACCAAATGGTCCAAAGTCAGGAGACTATCCTTTAAAGCAAAGGAAATTTATATGTATATGCATCTTTGAATCACCATTGATGCCTAATGTCTGTCTGGATAAGTTCCTATAGTTTCCTTGGCAAGATTTAGGAAGTTGTTTGCCATGACCTCCTTCCTAGGACTGAGAGAGAAACTAGCCCAAAGTCACCCAGCTGGCTTCATGCCTAAAATAGAAGTTCCAGTCCCTCAATTTCTGCCTTAATCCTGTCCCCAAATTGGCTCTCTAAATAGAGGAAGGAAGCATGGATAATCAATGACTGATCTAGGATCATTTATCCATAAATCCACAAAAAACATACAATGCATAGGCAAGGAACAGGCCAGGGTTCAGATTTTGAAACTTTGATATCATGATGAAAATGGCATCTTTTACTTCTCTAGATTATTCCTAACCCTGCTAGATGAGTAGGAGTTCTGATTGATATTGTTCCAGAGTCATTTCATACAACTGGACTAAATAAATAAATAAATCACCAGGGGCCAGCAGGGCAGCCCCCCAACTAAAATATCAGGAGTCAGCCTCTTTTTATCATCTAGTTTATTTTATTTCCTCCCTGGCATTTTAAGCAACCCTGAAGGCTATTTTCCTTTATGATTAGCGAAATGTGTTTTCTATGACAGACACATTCTTTAAATGTGTATTGTTTGTAAGCTTCATTTTTTCAACCTGTCATCTTTAATGTTTAGTTTCAGTTTCAATCAAAGGAGAAAGAAAGACTTTTTTTCAAAAAAAAACAACAACAATGTATGATCCCATTAGCACAGAATTGTGATGGGCTAATGTGAATAGGAAGGGAGTAAGGTATATGCAATGTCCTAGGTGTTTTCGGAATTGCATTTTGCTTGTACCAAGAAAGCAGAAAATTATTTTCAGGCCTTCATGCATTCAGTAGCTATCCAAATATCCTTTTTTATGGTTGCAACGTACAAGTATTTTTTTTATCATCAAGAGGACACCTCTTCTCCAAACGTTTCCAGGTGAAATCGTAGAAGAAGAACCGAAGTGTCCTCTGGAGCTACTGAGAAGATGCAAGCTTCACTTAATATGTTTTTGCCATACAGTTCACTTCTCTATATAAAACTGATTTTAGGGGAAGGGTAGGAGGGATATATATATATATATGTCCTGGACTTTAGTGACAGAGAACCAGAAAATGGAAAAGCCCTCCTCCCATACATAAAAGACACCACAGACAGAATCAGCAAAATCCTCCGCAAACACAACATCAAGACAGCATTCTGCACAGACCGGAAAATATCCACCATCCTAAGAAACCCCAAAGACAAAATTGAATTAGAAAATCAAGGAGTATATGAAATCCCATGCACTACTTGCCCCGCCACATACATCGGACAGACCAACAGAAGAATAAGTGCACGCATTGAAGAACACAAAAATGCAATCAAAAAAGAAGAACCAACTTCTTCCCTGGTCCAACACCTCAAAGCCACAGGACATAAAATTGACTTCAATAAGACAAGAACCATCGCCAAGGCCGAACACTTCAACAACCGTATAATCAGAGAAGCAATCGAAATAGAAAAACGCCCACACAGCATGAACAGGTGGGATGATACTTCCCGCCTGCCAGCCCTTTGGAAGCCTGCCCTTATTAACAAACGAATCCCAAACATGATGAATGAGACCAGGCCCACACCCACTTATATATATATAAG